AAAAAAAAAAAAAAAAAAGAAAGCGCTAGTCAGTTAAGGCTCGTATCTAAAGTGACACCATACGGAGACTGACGGAGCGAAAGATACTCGAGAGTGTTTGCAGCGACCAATGCTAACCATCACTGAACTCGGCACAATCATGTGGTTGCACAGCCGCGACGATGTTAGCCTCGTACCCTCCACAGCACTCAGCAACGAAACCAGGAATACCACAGCCCAAGCCCACGTCCTCCGATGTCATACTTCCCGAAGTCACCGTTTACTTCCCAAAGTCACTGTTTACTTCCCGAAGTCAATGTTTACTGGTGGGCTCTTCTCAACCTCCTGAAGCCACCCATGCAGTTTTTTTTTTTTTTTTTTTTTTTTTTTTTTTTGTTTGTTTGTTTTTGGAAAACCAAGTCTCGCCCCTAGAAGGGGTGATATAAGGGCACCCCCTTCTACCTGAGGGGTACAGTAACTGGGCGGGTAGGACCTTAGATGGTGGCCAGCTTGGCTGCAGCCATCAAGCTCTCTTCCAAAAATCCCAAAACGACAAGCACAATGCCAACAACGAACACAATTATCCCTTAATGTACTCCCCATCCCCTACTTCCCAGCCAGGGGTCACTCAGTCATTTGCCAGATAGGACCTAAGATGGTGGGCTGAGACTATGCTTGTTTTTTCGTTGTCATAGATACCCTATGGATATCATTTTGTACAATGCTGGGCCGCTGGACCCCTTTTCCAGCAGGTGAAAGGGCAGGGGTGCTGCACGAGCCTGGAACTACAGGACGTCAGAATCTTTTTTTTTTTTTTTTTTTTTTTTTTTTTTGGTGGACTCAGAAGACTATGCTTGTTTTTTCGTTGTCACACTCTATGGAGCTTGTTTTTTCGTTGTGTCACACTCTATGGAGCTCGTTTTTTCGTTGTCACACACTATGGATATCATACTGGGACCGTGGGACGCTGGGCCTGCTTTCGAGCACTGCCAGGTGAAAGGGCTGGCTGCACGGGCCTGCTGCGACCAGGAACTAGACGGGGCTGAAGGCAAAGAGCGAGACACAGGGGACAAGGAGGAACAGAGGGTCCCAGTTCTAGAGATTAGGCGGTGTAAAGG